GGGAGAGAGAAGGGAGAGTTAGGTGAGAAAAATAAGACCCGACAGTTTAGAACACCTGGTGTCTACCAACAAAGAGGCCCCATGTGAAGGGCAATAACTAGGTCACCATTTTTTTCGTTTTAGTAGAGGTTTTACGGCGCTCGCAACTGCATAAGGTCATATGAGCGCCAGAAGATTAGAGGAGTTACAAGAGAGTAACAAACATAAAAAAGAAGAAGGGGAGATAGAGACGATAGACGTTTGATAGGAAAGAAGAAGCAAACCACACCAGAGCACCCGCCAACCACCCACTAGGTCACCTTTGAGCCAGGTTCCCCAACAACATCAGACAAACAAAGTGCCACCACGGGGATGTCCCATTTCTCAGCTCACCTTTCCTCTTGTCCATCTGCATGCGGAAGGCGCGGTACGACTCGGTCTTCTGGTAGGCCTCAAGGTCGCGCACGTACTGTTCCTTTTCCTTGTCCGCCTCCTCCAGGTACCGCTGGGACACACAGACAGACAGGTGACACACACAGACAGACAGACAGGTGACACGCACAGACAGACAGACAGGTGACACACACAGACAGACAGACAGGTGGGACACACAGACAGACAGACAGGTGGGACACACAGACAGACAGACAGGTGACACACACAGACAGACAGACAGGCGGGACACACAGACAGACAGACAGGTGGGACACACAGACAGATAGACAGGTGAGACACACAGACAGACGGACAGGTAGAACACACAGATAGACAGACAGGTGAGACACACAGACAGACGGACAGGTGAGACACACAGATAGACAGACAGATGAGACACAGGTGGGACATACAGACAGATGAGACACAGGTGGGACACACGGACAGACAGACAGGTGAGACACACAGACAGACAGACAGGTGAGACACACAGACAGACGGACAGGTGGGACACAGAGACAGGCAGACAGGTGAGATACACAAACAGACAGACAGGTGAGACACAGGTGTGACACACAGATAGACAGACGCACAGGTGAGACACAGATGAGACACAGGTGGGACACAGACGGATGAACAGACAGACGCACAGGTGAGACACACAGACAAACGGACATAGGTGAGACACAGGTCGGACACACAAACAGACAGAGAGGTGAGACACAGGTGGGACACACAGACGCACAGGTGAGACAGACAGACAGACAGACAGACGCACAGGTGAGACAGACAGACAGACAGACAGACGCACAGGTGAGACAGACAGACAGACAGACGCACAAGTGAGACACAGGTGAGACAGACAGACGCACAGGTTAGACACACAGACAGACAGGTGAGACACAGGTGAGACAGACAGACAGATGCACAAGTGAGACACACAGACAGACAGACCGGTGAGACACAGATAGGACATACAGACAGACAGATGCACAGGTGAAACACAAGTGAGACACAGGTGGGACACACAGACAGACAGACAGACGCACAGGTGAGACACACAGACAGACAGATGCACAGGTGAGACACAGGTGGGACACACAGACAGACAAACAGACACACAGATGCACAGGTGAGACACACAGACAGACAGACAGATGCACAGGTGAGACACACAGACAGACAGATGCACAGGTGAGACACACAGACAGACAGATGCACAGGTGAGACACACAGACAGACAGATGCAC